CACCTACATCCCCTACATCTGCTAGTCTACCACTGTAAGAGTTCGCACGACTTAGTCAACTATGCTAGAGCCCATAATAGCTTGTGGCTGCACACGGAAGTTTCTAGTATGAATAATCTCATGATCCCTTTGAGCCTGGGTGGCGGTCCAAAAGAAAACTGGCAAATCCTGGATTACCCACGTGCCTCAATCCACCCAGATGTGTGTTTAAGTTGCCACCTTAGATGAACCATTAATTAACAAACTCACATCTGTCATGGATATCACTCACCCAATCCACGTCTACTAGCATAGCATGGCATAATAAGCAAACGTAGAAGTAACTTCCCAAAGGTTTGATAATAAACAGGTAATAGGTACTACCTCAACTACTTCCCAATCCCACAATTTAATTAGATCCTAATCACGCAATGTTTGAAGATTGATCTAATGCAGTAAAACTGGGTAGTAGAAAAGGTATGATCAAAGTGTTACTTGCCTTGGTGATGATCCGGGAAACCTAGCGGTTCGAAGTAACAAGCGGCGCACTCTGGGTACTCTATCACAAACAAACAAGCACACAATAAGTTCTCATCTAATGCACGGGTGAAACTCGAATAAGAGATCTAACCAGAAGGTTCAACTTAACAATTTCGGTTTGCAAAAATAATCAAATCGAACGAGGCAACGAAAGTCAAACGACGAAAGAAAACAACTTCGTTCTACTAATCTGGATCTAAGTCAAATTTTACAATAGCAAAAACTTGTTTAAGTTGGTTAAACAGATAGAGGGTTTCGAGACGAAACTCCAGGCGCTTGAATCGCTTGATTCCGATAAACGAGCGAAAAGTTATACTAAAACGAAAATTGGATCAGAAATCACGATCAGAAAAATCACGGATTTAATCCGAGAAAAAGAAAAACGACGAACGTTCGCAAGAACGAACGAACGGATGAACGCCCGCTAATTAAATAAATCAGAAGAACCGATCTATTTAAAAAAATGAAACTAAAAAAACTGAGGGAAAAACCGAACAGTTTTTTGAAAAAAAATATAAAAAAATAGCGCAGATTTCGAGGCGACCTCGGTGGCGGCGGCGGCGGCGGGGCGCAGTGGGCCGGCGAGCGGCGGCGGCGGCG